ATGACACCCCTGATCGTATTTCGGCAATGATTGTCCATTGTCTTCCAGAGGAGCCCCCTTACTTTGCTGTCAAACAAAGATTTTCTGATTTTTATCTTCCAGGAGACATCCCAAATTACCATAAATACAGAGACTATTATGGCCAGTGGTATCCAGACTATATTTTCTTAACCAAATATCTCGTAAGGGTGGAGAAAGTTTATTGTCAGCGCTTAAACCTTCCCTACCCTGACTACTACTTTGATAACCCAGCAGAGAACAATCCTCCTCCAAATCAACAACAACCAAAAAATTCCGCCTCTTCTTCTTTTTCGTCGGGGGGTAATCCAGCAGAGAATGGAGAACAACAAGAGGGTAATAGTTCACTTGTGGACATTTCTGATCCAAACCCACCTCCAACTCCAATAATTATAGATATTTCATCGGATGAGGAAGAAGAAGGGGAGTTTGTTCCAATAGAACCTGAACTTGAATCACCTGAACCAATGGAGGAGTCAAATGATTCTAACTTCGATCCTTCAAGCTACAAGCAATCCATCGACAAAAGGGACAACGTTCGAAAGGATTAAATCTTATGACTTTCCTCGCAACGAGTACATATTCTTTATTTTAAAAATTTATTTGTTATTTCAGTTTTAGCAAATAAGTGGCATGACCACATCAGTTTTCGGAACACACTTTTTATTTTAATATCTTCAGTCTATTTTAATTAATAAACCTTATTTATTTCTTTGATAGATTTTTATTTATAAATTCTTTTGTTTTACAAATATTCCATTTCCCACCATTATTCCAGTAATCACCATTCCATGCAACTTATCTCCAACAAACATTTATAAACCGCAAACGTCCATGGGAATTATTTTTATATTTATTGTGATGCTTTATTAAATGCATGGTTGGTTAGCAATCAATATTAATTGATAAAGCTACATTAAGGGAATTTTTAGCAATTGCTATCCCAAATTTTTAGCTTCACATTTTACTGTAAATGTTTTAAAAGTAGTTAAATATATACGGGTGTTCGTCTTGAGAGCTAAACCTAGCCATTTCTAATAGTTATCCTTGTCCTATATTCAGGAGAAACCAAATGGCAGGGGGACGAAGTTCAGGTAGTGGTGAAAATGATTTGAATGATGTAGTGAGGCAATTGGCAGCGATTGCCTAACAATTGGCAAGGAACTCAACTGGTAACGGGGATGCTCAAGGGGAGCTCTTTAAAAAGGTGGCGCAAAGCAAGCCACCAACCTATCAGGGCGAGCCTGTTCCTGTGGTGTTGGAAAATTGGTTAAGGGAATTTGAGAAACTGTTTGGAGCTGTGGGATGCCCTGAAAACTTCAAAGTAGGTTGTGCTACCTACTATCTGAGGGGTGAAGCTGACCTTTGGTGGAAACAAAACGAGGCTACCATTAGAGCATTACCTGGGTTCAACTGGACCAAATTCCAAGAAAAAGTGAGAGACAAGTTTTATCCTAGCTTTTTGCAGAAGCAAAAGGCTGAGGAATTTTCAAACCTTAGGATGGATAAGATGACAGTTACAGAATATTACACCAAGTTTATTGAGTTGTCCTATTTTGTTGAAGGATCCGTCTCTACGGAGAAAGCAAAAGCTAGGAAGTTTGAGAATGGGTTAACTACTGATTTGCAGTTGAAGCTGTGCGGGCAGGTATTTGAGATCTTGGATGAAGTATATGGAAGGGTCGCACACCTTTATGCTCTGGAGGAAAAGAAGAAGAACGAGTTACCTGAAATAGAAGGAAGAGAGAAGAGGAAGGAAGTGGGACAAGTTTCTGGAAACCAATAGGGAAACCAGAATGGTTTTAAGAAGCGGAAGTACCACCATAACAATAATTTCCCCAATAATAATAATTTCCAGAATAATAACCGCCAAGGGGGACGTAGCAACAATGGAGGGGCTAGAAACAATAAGAATGGAAGGATTATGAAGGCAATTTGGTTGCTTGTCGCGCTTGCAACAAACTGGGGCATAGGGAGTACGAGTGTTACTCTAAGAATGCCAATGGGAATAAACAGAACAACTATAACTCAGGAGGAAACCAGAAGAATTTCCAAGGGTACAACAACAATTTTTCTGGGAATAAGGGAGTGCAGCAGAATAGGGTGAGAAACAGTAACACCAACAACAGTAACAGCCAACAAAAGGGAGGAACTACAGGGAAACTGAATGTTTTGAGTAGGCATGAGGCAGAGGCCACGAAAGATGTTATCACTGGTACTTTTTCTATTAACTCTATTCCCGTTAAAGTATTGTTTGATTCTGGTGCAACTTTTTCTTTTGTTTCTAAGGGTATTGTTTTAAAACTTAAGGACTGCTTAAAAACAGTAGAGGCAGTAGATTTACCTATAACCATCCCGACAGGTGGGGTAGTGAATTGTACCAAAACTTTTAGAAACGTGCATTTAGAAATAGAGGGAAAGATATTTTCGTCTGATCTTATTGAGTTTGGGTTGAGCGACTTTGACCTTATCTTGGGGATGGACTAGCTGAGTAAGTATAATGCTGAGATTAGTTGTAGATCACAGAAACTGAAGATGGTCACAAGTGGAAATGAATCAGTGACTTACTGGATGAATGGTAAAAACAAAGTGCCCAAGGGTAATATCAGTGTTAAAATTAGCAAAGTACATGAAGAAGGGACATACATTATATTTCTACAGCGTTAGGGATATGAACCATGAACAAGTGGCAAATCCAGAAAATATAGAAGTGGTCAACAAATTTCTGGATGTGTTTCTGGAAGAGATCCCTGGGATGCCACCTAAAAGGGCAATCGACTTTACCATAGATTTAGTTCCCGAATCAGCCCCAATATCCAAGGCACCATATAGAATGGCACCTGCAGAAATGAGTGAATTAAAAAATCAGTTACAAGATTTGTTGGACAAAGGGTACATTAGACCAAGTGCTTCTCCTTGGGGACCACCAGTTCTATTTGTGAAGAAAAAGGATGGAAGCATGAGACTGTGCATTGATTACAGGGAATTAAATAAGGTGACCATAAAGAATAAGTATCCCTTACCAAGAATAGATGATCTGTTTGACCAACTAAAGGGTGCCATAGTGTTTTCGAAAATTGACTTGAGGTCTGGATATCACCAATTGAGAATTGCCGATGAGGACATCCCTAAAACGACATTTAGGACAAGATATGGACACTACGAATTTACAGTTATGCCTTTTGGATTGACGAATGCTCCAACAATCTTTATGGATTTGATGAATAGGGTGTTTCATCAATTTATGGATAAGTTTGTAGTGGTGTTAATAGATGACATTTTGGTATACTCAAAGAACAAAGAAGAGCATGCAGAACACCTAAGGACAATTCTGCAAACATTGAGAGAAAACCATCTTTATGAAAAGTTCTCTAAGTGTGACTTTTGGTTGGAAAAGGTAGCCTTCTTAGGACACTTTGTGTCCAAGGACGGGGTAGAGGTAGACCAAGCCAAAATAGAAGTTGTTAAGAGTTAGCCGACACCCAAAACAGTATCTGATGTGAGAAGTTTCTTAGGTTTAGCAGGGTATTATAGGCGTTTTGTTAAGGATTTTTCCAAGATTGCTAAACCTATGACTACTCTAATGAAGAAGGACAAGAAGTTTGAATGGGATGAGAGGTGTGAAGAGGCGTTCCAACTCTTAAAACACAAATTAGTTACAGCATCAGTGCTTACACTTCCAGATGATAGTGGACTGTATGATGTAATAGTGATGCATCAAAGAATGGTTTGGGGTGTGTGCTTATGCAAAATGGAAAGGTGATTGCATACGCATCAAGGCAGATAAAAACACACGAGGTAAACTATCCAACCCATGATTTGGAATTAGCCGCCATCATTTTTGCACTGAAAATTCGGCGCCATTATTTGTATGGAGTGAAATGTAGAATTTACACAGACCACAAGAGCTTAAAGTACATTTTCACCCAAAATGATTTGAACTCTCGTCAAAGGAGATGGCTAGAGTATACGACGGATTACGATAGAGACATACAATACCACGAAGGGAAGGCAAATGTGGTTGCGGATGCTCTAAGTCGTAAAACTAGTCATGGATTAAACTCGTTAGTAGTAGCTAATGAGCTATGTAGAGAAATGGCGAAATTGAATTTAGAAGTCGTGGAATGGGGAGTACTAGCAGGTATTTTTGCGAATCTGAGTATCCAACCAACAATATTCGACGAGATTCGAGAGAACCAAGAGGGAGATGTAAAGTTGGATAGGATTCGTGAGAAAATTAAGCAAGGAAAAGCTATAGACTTCAAAATTCACGAAGATGGGAGCTTGAGGTATAAAGGTCAATGGTGTGTACCACAGAAATGTGAGGAAGTGAAGAAAAAGTTGATGGAAGAAGGCCACAACACACCTTACTCAGTACACCCGGGAGGAGACAAGTTATATAAGGATTTGAAGAAGATGTTCGGGTGGCCTAGAATGAAAAAGGAGGTTGCTGAATTTGTGGCAAAGTGTTTAACATGTCAGAAGGTGAAAATAGAGCACAAGAGGCCTCAAGGGACTGTACAGTCATTAGAAATTCCAGGATGGAAGTGGGATTGCATTTCAATGGATTTTGTGACTGGCTTACCTAAGTCAAGGAGTGGAAATGATACCATTTGGGTAGTGGTGGACAGACTTACGAAATCACCAGTGTTTATACCAATGAAAGAAACTTGGAAGATGGAGCAACTTGCGAAGGCTTACATAAAGCATGTAGTAAGGTTACATGGAGTTCCAAAAGATATTGTTTCTGACAGGGATTCTAGATTTCTCTCAAAATTCTGGAAAAGTGTTCAAGAAAATTTTGGTACCATACTTAAGTTGAGTACAACATTTCACCCTGCCACAGATGGGCAAACTGAAAGAACTATTCAAACCTTGGAGGACATGCTGAGAGCTTGTTAATAGACTTCCAGGGAGGTTGGGAAGACAGTTTGGATTTAATTGAATTTTCCTATAACAATAGTTACCAAGCAAGCATAGGAATGGCACTATTCGAGGCTTTATATGGGAGAAAATGTAGAAGTCCAATTTGTTGGAACGACATTAGTGAAACTATGATTCTTGGGCCTCAAATGATTGAGGACACAGTCAAGCAAGTAAGGGAAATTCAATCTAAAATCCAAGCAGCTCAATATCGCCAAAAGAGTTATGCAGACTTAAAGCGAAGAGAAGAAGCATTTGAAATTGGCGATAAGGTGTTACTAAAAGTGTCTCCAATGAAAGGAGTGATGAGATTTGGGAAGAAAGGAAAGCTCAGTCCTAAATACATCAGTCCATATGAAATACTACAAAGAATAGGCAAAGTAGCGTATAGGTTAGCCTTACCTATGGAGCTTAGTAAAGTACATGACGTATTTCATGTGTCCCAATTGAGAAGGTACATCCCCGATAAATCCCATGTGCTACAACCAGAAACCATCGAGTTAAATCAAAGTTTAACCTATGAAGAGAGACCTGTCAAGATTCTTGACAATAAAGTGCGTAGTACACGCAACAAGAACGTTAAGATTGTAAAAGTACTTTGGTCTAACCAAGAATATGAGGAAGCCACTTGGGAAGCAGAGGATGAAATGAAAAAGAATTACCCAGAGTTGTTTCAGGTATGTAGAGTTACGGGGGCGTAACTCGTTTTCTTAGAGGGGTAGAATGCAGTATAATTTCGCGCTTTTTCCCTATATTTCAGTTATTTTTGTGCTCTTTGCACGAATTTAAACAAGTATTTCGAGTATTTATGCTCTCAAAGAGACATAAAACAGTAAAGAAGTGACAAAAAGTATAGCAATACCATACATACTAAGGAAAAAGGTTTGAATTTCGTTCCCCACGAAACTTGGGGAACGAAATTCAAACCTTTTTTCTTACTATGTATAGTATTGCTGTACTTTTTTTCACTTCTTTACTGTTTTATGTCTTTTTGAGAGCATAAATACTCGAAATACTTGTTTAAATTCGTGCAAAGAGCACAAAAATAACTGAAATATAGGGAAAAAGCGCGAAATTCTACCGCATTCTATCCCCCTTAAAGAAAACGAGTAAAGTATGTATTTTATAAAGTATTTAAATAGTTGTAATTATTTTAATTAAAGTATTTTAATTAATATTATTATTAAAGGAAAGTTTATTTAATTATTTTATTTAAAATTGGGGTTTTATTTTAGGAAAGTTTAATTTTTTCAACAAGTTTATTAGGGAAGGAATTAGGAAAACCTGGAAGTGGGTTAGTAGAGAAAGGGTATAAATATCCCACTTATGAGGCAAATCAAACTTTGCCCATAGTGGAGAAAACCCAAGGTAAACTTCTCTCTCTCTCCTCCTTATTTTTTTTTCTTTTTCTTTTTCCTCTTCCCCTTATTTTTTTCGGCTGCCCTCCTCCCTCACCACCGCTGCCAACCACCTGCAACTGGTGGCCGCCGCCGCCAGCAGCCGACAGCCGGTGGTGGCTGCCGTTCTTCCTCCCCTTTTTCCCCCTTTTTCGAACTACATATATATAAAAAAAAAAACTTAGCTTTCTTGTTTTAATTTAATCTATTCTTGGATCTAAATATAAATTATGAGTTTGGGGTTTAATTTTGATGTTTGATAATTGTAATTGTATGAATTAATTTTCAGATTTGGTTTTTAATTAAAAAGCCCCAATTTTTGAAACCCTAGGTCCTTGATTTATGAAAATTATAAAAGTATATGAGGTATTTATGTTTGTATCTTCAATTTAAGTGTTTTAAGACTAAATTACAGCAAGTTTAAATTAGAAATAAAGTGATGGAATTTTATGTAGAGCACTTAATATTATGTTTTTGAAGGAAATTTAAATTACCCATTTAAGTGGGACTTAATTAGGGTGTTTTAAATATAATTTCAGCTTATTCTAATTATTTTAAGAGGGGTTTTAGAATAGTATATATTACTGGAAATTTGTTTAGAGTGGGTTTTAATGCTCTATTATAATTTTAATGTGTAGGAGACTTCGAAGTGAGCAATTTTTACTAGTCGTGACGATTTTAAGATCGTATTCAAGGTACGTTCACGTACTTAGCATATTTTGATGATGTAGAATCATGCTAGGTTTAATTTCAATCAATTATAAGTACTATCATGCTAAGGTTTGTGTATTGAATTGTGAATTATTGGTGTTGGTGATTGAATTGTGAAGCATGAATTATTTGTGATGGTTTATGGATTAGAAAATTATATTTTTTGCATGATTATATGGACTAAATATTTATTTATGGCATGATAGAGAGAATGTTTAGTTAAACTAATTGTTTAATTATGTTTGGAATATTGAAAAGATATTTTATTATGGTTCATATAATTTTTATTGATGCTTTAAGCTTGATAAAGGAGCTATATAAGTGTCTATGTACACAAGGAATAAATTGTATGTTGGTGCCTTTATGCACTTAAGATGTTTTTAACACCGAGGGATAGGATTTTTAGCGCTTTATGCTTTTAAGGTGTCTTTGACACTGAGTTAGAATTAAAAAGGGTTCAACATTAAATATTATGTGGTCACTAAATATTCAAGAATTAAATTGGTACGTTTGAGTGATTGAGTTATCATTGATGATTGAATTGTTATGCTTTGAGGGTCATCGCCAGGTCTAATAATATGTAAATAACGTAAACTGAAAAAAATTACGCACCAAAACTCTTGGAACGTATATACCTTGAGTACGAACATATGGGGGGAGTTATGTGACTTTACATTTGATCATAACTTCTAACGGAGTACAGGACGCTGTATATTCCTTTTTATTATTATGCGCTGGAATTCCACCACCTATGTGTGGCACAGGTTTGTTGCTGGCACGGTTAGCTCCCGTGTCAGTTAACCCCAATTTATTGGGATAGGTATATTTGGAAACCCGTTCGATGCGTAATCAATGCTAAATGAATTATTAAGTGTCTAGTTAGAGTGTCTTGTTGATTGTTGTGTGTGCTTATAAACAGGTGCAATGAGGTAAGTGTGTGTGATGATAGGAGAATGCATGTTAGTGTGTTTAATTACGCTTATGTACTCAGCTTTGCTGATTGTGTGTGTTGTTTGTGTCTGGCCATGTCTTTTTTTTGGCCCTACGATGATCCATTTTAATGGAGAGTAGTGGGGGCAAGTAGAGATACACTTTTCAGGTATTGAAGCATGTTCATGACGGGGCATGAGTGAAGAGAGAATCATGCTAGCTTCCATTAGAATATGATGTGTTTTATGCATTGAATATTTTATTATATTACTTGATGGACTAACACAAAAATTTGGTTGTTTCGGTTTTGAATAAGGGCCTTAAATGGTTCCAAGTTGTAGTGGATTTTATTTGACTTTGGTTTTCTTGATTTTCAACTTTACTTTCGTTGGTTTGGTTTTTAAATTGTGTTATTTAAATAGTTTTGCTTTTCAAGTCTTCCGCTGTGTATCTTTGATAGTTGCCTTAGTCGTTTTCACGGTGGCGGTAATGTCTTAGATATTCCTAAAACGTATTTTAAAAGGACTAAAGTGTGTATTTAAAGGAAAGGAATTTCTAGGGTGTTACAGTCAGTGGCGTTGAACTTATGCGAAAGAAGTTCCTTGTCCAGAGAGACCCCTTGTGAACTAATGCCGTGAAATTTATAGTCACTAGATAGCTTGCTCAAGCTTTCTTCCATGAGGTTCATTTGTTGTTGCTTCACAGGGTCATCAATTTTGAGGGTTAAAGCCTTTAACACCTCAGTCACGTCAATCAATTGACTCCTAAGTTCATTAACTTCCTCTTGAGTTGCCATTATCTTTTTAGCCTTCCTCTTTTGACAAATTGGTTTATCAAAAAGTGAGACTTAAATAAAGAGATTATCCTTGATTAATTGCCCTTCTCTCCTCAATCAAGTACTTTGGAAAAGGAATTTGGGGATATTCATTGTTAGCTATTTGACTCAAACTTTATTTAACATGAAATGGATGGAGGAAGTGAAGAAAGATTGGAATAGAATGTGAAGAAAAATGATGTAGATGGAGGGATATGAAGAATTAGGAATAGAATGTAACCCCAGCTCAAATGACGGAAAAAACCGACTCATGCATGAACCTAAGACATGGTCATGGTGACATATACTCAAAGTGTGTGCTAAGACTGGTGAGTGTAGGTGACATGCTAAGCCTCGTGTCATGACCATGTGGCTAGATTATGTGACTAGACTCAATTAATGACTTAACAAGGTATTATTGACAGCGAAATTTAACCAAATTAATTAGCAAACTGGTTAATTAGACACTAGGTGATGACTCGATCAATAATCCAAACTGTCGTCAAAACGGCAGGACTGGCACCTGTCTTTGCAGTGTAGCGCCAAACGACAAAGCTGTCGCCAGACGCCACACTCCACAGAGTGGCGCTACAGTTCAGATTTTGGCGCCATCACTGGAGCTTCAATCTGAAGCTGTTTTCGGTTTTATTAATCAACAGGGGTATGCCTAAAGTCGTACTAGGTCAATTCTGATTAAAATATTAGACTTTATTTACTCAATTTAATTAATTAATTAATTAGGCAAAGTTCTTTAAGTCATTAATTCATTTAATCTCAACACAAGTCAAACAAACGGTTAAGAAAACATAGTATATGCACAACAAATAATGCACAATTAGTCAAGTAGGCACAATATAATGCAACGACTTTGCAACCTAACCATGTCTCTAGTTCTCAAAAGTTCGGGATATGGTTTAGTAAAAGAGGGTCCATGGTTAATTGTCCGGATGCACCGCGCGGAAGCCTAACCGTGAAGGGTTGGCGCGAGTGGATGGGACACCGCAAATTTTAGAAAAAACTCGCTTCCATGGTTTGGTGAATTCAACAATCTCGGATGTACTCTTTGTTGCTCAGAGCGTTCAATCAGGTAGATGGAGCATGAATTCCCAGAGGGTTGTGTCCATATGAAGAACACATATGGGTTTCAGAAAAGTGAGAAAAACTTAATCAGGAAGTAGGATCGAGCAAACAATACGCAAAACTGGTCGAAATTAGAACGCATAATTCTAGCTCGGTATTGGAAGAATTTGGCGCCAACAAACAGAGATTGGCGCAAGGTTTTAGCTGTAGCGCTTGGCGACAAGCCTGTCGTCTGGCGCTACAATTAAATGTCTGGCGCCAATACTCTGGTCGCTGACGCTAATTCCTATATGCCTCAGCAGCTTTCTGTGCTTGATAAAATTTTCCAGTTTTGCGCAGTGTTATTTCGGTCCTAGTTGTGAAAGATATTTCCAAATTTCCTACGTGTAAAAATCCTATGTTTTTAACTCATTACGGATGGTCTTCCCAATGAGATCTTTTTTATGCATATGACAATAATGTTAATCAAAATTACGCACATAAAATACTTAGAACTTTTCGAGTCTCATCCACTCATTCTAAATCATTGCCGAAATAAATTTCAGGAATTAAAATAGAAATCCTCCCCAGTGGAGTCGCCAAAAAGTGTAGGGAATATTTCAAGCGTTAATCCCCCAGCTTGAACCCCACTGTGATCATACACTAAAGTATGGTGGCGTCCAAAGGGAAAGAAGATAGAGCAAAAGAGTCGCCAATAAGTTTTTTAGGAACTTGTAAACCGTTCACAAGGTGAAGGTTACACCCCTTAACGATCCAGGAGATCGACAACTCCATAAGATCTTGAACCAAATAGGGTTCGGGGATGAAGGTACAAATCTAACCTAAAAGAGATTGAACCTGCCCTAATAATAGGCCTCTACTTTATTCTGTTCGTATTCTTGTGCGCTTTTTGATTAACATGAAATCAATAGG